GTACATGCTTGCGGGCTGGTGAGGAGAAAGTAATATTGCCCATGTGTAAGTAAATGCTGGCCAGCTATTGATTCACAGCACACTGTTGACCTCATGCATATCAAATACAAGCTAGTAGTTGTACATTTCATGCTGTCAATTACACCACTAAGTGCTTATTGTTTAGGCGAGATCATTGGATTAGCTGCCTTTGCAAAAAAGAAATTCCTTGGCAAGGTGTTTCCCTCTGTGTACAAGTGTAGTGTCTTAGAATGTCGACCTTTGTTGGTTATACTAGTTGGAAATTAACTGTTGTTATTGATGAGGCATCACTAATTAATGAGGCAGGATGTGGTCTTTTCATTAGCACAGTTTGACATTGACAGGAACATGAAACAAGGTAACAACACTTTCATACTCATTACATCTTCAGTAAAATCTACTAGTAAAACTATATCCATGTGAATACAAGCAACAATGTGTGACATTTGAACACTGGTAGCTTTTAAATGACTCCAAATTACTTTAATGTTTGGCAGTATGTAAAGTTCATTGTGCCAATTGTGAAATGTCATCTGCAGTGTTTACATATAAGCCTGTGATATAACTAGCAAACTGACACGAGAGAAGTGTCAGAATGCAGGAAATCCTGTAAACACTGTCACTGTCAATGTCACTCTTTATAAATGCTTGTCATAAGAAGCATTTAGCGGGGTCGGATCATCAGTCTCGCTGACTTGGTTGATTAATATCATGGTATCCCAATTGCATAGATCGATGCTCATGATATCAACCACTAGATTGCCTGGTCCATTATTCACAGACCACCATCATATACCTGGAGGGGGCACGGGTGGCCCAGTCGTCTAAGGCGCCGCAATTCGCTGTGCAGAGTTGCGTCCCTTGGGCATGCCAGAAACCTATGATTGTGGGTTCGAATCCCGGTCGCCCCGATTATGTTTCTAGGTTGGTCAGCACCATACCCGGGCTCGTGGGTTTCACCGAAGCGGTAAACGTCTGAGACCTGCATCACTTGGGGCTTTCCTCCCACATTAAGCTGACACGCCGCGATATAACTGGAATACTGTTAAAAGCGGCGTTAAACCCAACTCACTCACTCACTCACTCATATACCTGGAATATTGCTGAGTGTGGTGTAAACAACAAACAAACACTCTATAAAAATGAAATGAGGAGGGATTTGCATGTTATTGATTAATCCCTAGTAGCTTTAAACATGTGACAAGATCTGACTCTAGATCACAGAACTATTTCGGACATATGCAATGTGGAGAATTAGGTAGATGTTTTTGTGGTACAACCTGCATGGATTTTGTCTGTCAAATTAAGCTCTCACATGTTGTGTTGTATAGCCTTTTTGTATCTTCTGGAAGGCATTAAAACCTCCCCAATATTCATTGTCAGCTCTTTTGTTTTGGACTGAATGACTCAGAAAGAAAATTAGTGAATTCTCAATCTCTCCAGTTAGGAAGGCAGTTGTCCTCCACCACAAGCTGTTGTAGTTGCTGCTATCACGGGCTGGTCTGCCTGTAGGCAGCCCTGCTTTGGGGACATATGGCTTTATGAAGCTGATATATATTACTGCTTATTGTTGGTTGAGAGAAGTCGTAGATGGGAATAAGTGATATTTATACTGCTGATATGTAGCAGTGACTGGCTGTGAAAGTGTGATCGGGTCCACACTGGCTATCACAGGGCAGCAGGATATTGACGAGCTATTGATTACATGATTCTATATCAACAAGTGGTATACACAAGGTAGGAAGTTTACAAGTTGTAGTGTGACACCTTCATGTTTTGCTGGCTGTAGTGGTTTAGGGCGGTACGGTGTCAGCAGGGATGGAGGACCAGTGTGCAGAGGCCTACTGATGTCACTCTCCTCAGCTTGTATGGACTTTCACATTATGGCATTTACAACAAATGAATGAATATAGCAGATTGTTCTATCAATTGAGTATCATCCCTTGTGATGTGCTCATCATCGTATTGTTCTTGTGGGGAAAGTTATTCTATCGGATTTCTTGAAACAGAAAACCTAGGACATTTTCAACAATTAATCCTTTTTAAGTGTGGTGAAAATAGTCCAAAGATATGTATGAAACAAACGGTTCGATGGGACATTTGGTCCAAATATTCCTGTTGGACTTGTGTGGGCATTAATCCTGTAGGATTATGTGGGACAGAATGTCCTATGTGTTTCATTGGGCATGCCTTGCTATGTCTGATGTAGGGTCGCTATGTTATTAAAGGTGGCAGAAAGTGACAACAGAAAGCAATGACTGTCCGTCAGTATCCTGCAGCGGCCTACATGATTTGTCAGTTAACATCATTCAATATTTATGGACAGCACAGATTTCAATTCAGTTCAGATGTATGCTTGGATTCTTAGGCAAAATGGTTTTCTTAGGAGTTGAATGGCTGTTGGAGGAACTGAATTGATATTGTAGGAGTTAGATGGATATGGGAGGAGTTCAATGGTTGTTTTGGAGCTGAATGGTTGTTTTTGGGGCTGAATGGTTGTTTGGGGAGCTGAATGTTTTTTGGGAGAGTTAAATGGTTGTTTGGGGAGCTGAATGGTTGTTTGGAGCCCTGAATGGTTCTTTTTGGAGCTGAATGATTGTTAAAGGAGCTGAATGGTTGCTGGAGAGGTGAATGGTTCTTGGTGGAGCTGAATGGTTGTTGGAGAGGTGAATGATTGTTGGAGGAGCTGAATAGTTGTTTGGGGAGCTGAATGGTTCTTGGTGGAGCTGAATGGTTGTTGGAGAGGTGAATGGTTCTTGGTGGAGCCGAATGGTTGTTGGAGAGGTGAATGGTTTTTGGTGGAGCCGAATGGTTCTTGGAGAGGTGAATGGTTCTTGGTGGAGCGGAATGGTTGTTGGAGAGGTGAATGGTTCTTGGTGGAGCTGAATGGTTGTTTGGGGAGCTGAATGGTTCTTGGTGGAGCTGAATGGTTGTTGGAGAGGTGAATGGTTGTTTTTGGAGCTGAATGGTTGTTTGGGGAGCTGAATGTTTTTTGGGAGAGTTAAATGGTTGTTTGGGGAGCTGAATGGTTGTTTGGAGCCCTGAATGGTTCTTTTTGGAGCTGAATGATTGTTAAAGGAGCTGAATGGTTGTTGGATAGGTGAATGGTTCTTGGTGGAACCGAATGGTTGTTGGAGAGGTGAATGGTTCTTGGTGGAGCTGAATGGTTGTTGGAGGAGCTGAATGGTTGTTGGAGAGATGAATGGTTCTTGGTGGAACTGAATTGTTGCTGAATTGTTGTTGGAGAGGTGTGAATGGTTGCTGGAGAGGTGAATGGTTCTTGGTGGAGCTGAATTGTTGTTCGAGAGGTGAATGGTTCTTGGTGGAGGTGAATGGTTGCTGGAGTGGTGAATGATTGTTGGAGAGGTGAATGGTTCTTGGTGGAGCTGAATTGTTGTTGGAGAGGTGAATGGTTCTTGGTGGAGTCGAATGGTTCTTGGTGGAGCTGAATGGTTGATGAAGAAGCTGCCTTTATTGGTGATTGGGGGATCACAATGATTGTTCAGTATTAACAGTACAAATGACAACTTTTTGATGTTTGTGAACCTGCAGAATCAGTTAATGCTCACATTATTTGATGATCACCTAGTTAGGTTATAGCTGTGATACTACTGACGGCAACAACGAGCAACGTTTATTCACTCATTCCTAATTCATGATCCCTCAGCTTATTATCTTCATAAATCAGTGGATGAATTGGTGTATACATTAACATTGCACACATACACCAACAAACTCACATGTATAGAGTGTGCTGTGCTATAATGTCAACATGCAAACACTCAGCCATACTCCCACATCCCATCTGTTGATTGTTTTAGGTGACTCAGTATGAGAATGTTAATGAACTACCCCAGCTGAGTCACCTGCTGTATGTGGACGGGTGTCCTGCGAGGGGAGGGGCACATCTAGTGGACGTCAGTGATGCCATGACCACACAATGTGTATGTTGTACACAACATTTACACTGATTAATGAATGTGGTCCTGACCCGGGAGATCTTCTATCAAATTATGGATGGGCAGACATGTGCTTGCAGTAACATCCTTGCCTTGAAGCAGTGCTTTATACATGAGTTATGTACTCACATGGTCAATAGTCCTTATTTACAGTTTGATAGCTCCATTAAACAGTTCACAGAGATTGACCTTAATTACAATCAGTCACCCCTATGAATGATATTACTTGTGAACAGGAAAGTCATTGTTGAATATGTATGTGCTGACATGGACACAATGTTATTTTGGGCATAGGAAGTCTCCGTTGTCTCGGGATGATGGATGTTTCAGGTAATAAAACTACTGCTGCATGGCTGTGGTGTGTTGTATGCACAACAGCAGGTACTGGCCAGACTGGGCACAGATCTCAAGACATCCAGTGCCATGCTCTAATGATACATGTGTACCACTACCTCATGCTGATTATTTGTTCGTTATGCCACAGGGTACTGACAGGTTAATTCACAAAATGTGTACAGCCAGTTGATAGTTGATAGCCAGATAGAACTGACACATTTGTGTGACAATGGTTATGTGTGTAGTTTGCTCTTGAGGATTACATGTTGCTTACAGATTGTGAACACCTGTGTAGAGAGCTTGTGTTTGCTTTTTGTCTTGTAATGTGGCACTTCCAATGTGGCACTTCTGGGCATACGTGCTGGAGGACTATAGAAAAACAATGTTGTTTTTGTCAGGATCCTTATCATGAAAGTAGGACATTGTGACATTTCAAACAAGAAACTTCCAAAGCTCTTGAATTGGTTCTTGTTGGCATCTTGTTTGGAAATCTTTGTATTGTTTGAAGTGAATGTGTTCAGAATATATTGAATGTAAAGCTTTCTTCTGTCAACCAGTCCATGTGGAAGTTCAACATTGAAAACAAGACCACATTTGTATGCAAAACTTCTGAAATCATAAAACAATACCAATGAAAGTTTGTTGATGTCTGTGTCCTAGCTAAAAGTGAGATTTGATTTGCAGATATTTGACTCAACCTGCTGACTTCACCCCTGAGAAGTCACCCCAGAGTCGGCGCAAGTTCAAATATGAGGGTCGTCACCTAACACAGCCAATCACGCCAGAGGAGATGAAGGAGGCGAAGGCAGCGGCCACACCCTCCCCAGTCAAGCCAGGGGGCTCCATCGGGGACAGGTCAGTCAACATTTATCAAGAAGTCTTTCGGTGGCTTTTTTTTTGCTGTTGAAGTATTTCCTTTGTGTAAGACTCCATCATTTCTATCTAGGTGACACAAGTTGAATTTCATGAACATTTGAGATATAATGTATTTCTGAATGACAATAATCCCATTCCATTCTATGCATTAAAATTCCATGGAGATCCTAGTGTGTTTTTTAAATGTCTAGAACACTCAGAAGTTGATGTGTGATACAAACTGTCCATGAATACTCCTTAAAATGTGACAAGACTCTCCAGGACAGTGTTTGTTCCAATAGATTTCAAATATCTGTATCTCTATAACAAAGTCTTGACATAAGGTTCCAGTTGTGGCAGTATATTTTAAAAAGCCTGTTTCCTCCTTCCCTGCTTGCTTAATGCAGCTGCTTTATTAAGATGTTTGTGTCACAGTGAAGCCGCAGGTCATGCTGTGTTGCAGGTTGAATGCTCTCAAGAAAAGTGGTGAGGAGGACTGGAGACGTCGGGTTCCCAAAACCTTGGACCTTGACACACCAGTCAAACTGAGGGACAAGACCAACCTTGCTGGAGTAGAACGCCCGTCCAGCCTTGCTGACAGACTGAAAAATTTGGATGAGTCCAAAGGAGGATGGAAGGAGAGGGTGGAGGAGAAAGATCAGGAGCAGTTTACAGTGAAGGGAAGACTTGGCAGGGGTAGGTACAGGGGAAGAGAGTGGTAGGTAGACTTAAAGCAAAGGCAAGTAGAGTCAGGGCAAGGGTAGGTAGAGTCAGGGCAAGTGTAGGTAGACTTAGTGCAAGGGTAGGTAGACTTAGTAAAAGGGAAGGTAGAGTCAGGGCAAGGGTAGGTAGAGTCAGGGCAAGTGTACGTAGACTTAGTGCAAGGGCAGGTAGAGTCAGGGCAAGTGTAGGTAGACTTAGTGCAAGGGAAGGTAGACTTAGGGCTAGTGTAGGTAAATCAGGGCAAGGGAGAGGTAGGTAGACTTAGGGCAAGGGAAGGTAGAGTCAGGGCAAGTGTAGGTAGACTTAGTGCAAGGGAAGGTAGACTTAGGGCTAGTGTAGGTAAATCAGGGCAAGGGTAGGTAGAGTCAGGGCAAGTGTAGGTAGACTTAGTGCAAGGTAAGGTAGAGTCAGGGCAAGGGAAGGTAGAGTCAGGGCAAGGGAAGGTAGACTTAGTGCAAGGGTAGGTAGACTTAGGGCTAGTGTAGGTAAATCAGGGCAAGGGTAGGTAGAGTCAGGGCAAGTGTAGGTAGACTTAGTGCAAGGGTAGGAAGAGTCAGGGCAAGTGTAGGTAGACTTAGTGCAAGGGAAGGTAGACTTAGTGCAAGGGAAGGTAGAGTCAGGGCAAGGGAAGGTAGAGTCAGGGCAAGGGAAGGTAGACTTAGTGCAAGGGTAGGTAGACTTAGGGCTAGTGTAGGTAAATCAGGGCAAGGGTAGGTAGAGTCAGGGCAAGTGTAGGTAGACTTAGTGCAAGGGAAGGTAGAGTCAGGGCAAGGGAAGGTAGAGTCAGGGCAAGTGTAGGTAGAGTCAGGGCAAGGGAAGGTAGACTTAGTGCAGGGAAAGGTAGAGTCAGGGCAAGGGAAGGTAGAGTCAGGGCAAGTGTAGGTAGACTTAGTGCAAGGGTAGGTAGACTTAGGGCTAGTGTAGGTAAATCAGGGCAAGGGAAGGTGGACTTAGTGCAAGGGAAGGTAGACTTAGGGCTAGTGTAGGTAAATCAGGGCAAGGGTAGGTAGAGTCAGGGCAAGTGTAGGTAGACTTAGTGCAAGGGAAGGTAGACTTAGGGCTAGTGTAGGTAAATCAGGGCAAGGGTAGGTAGAGTCAGGGCAAGTGTAGGTAGACTTAGTGCAAGGTAAGGTAGAGTCAGGGCAAGGGAAGGTAGAGTCAGGGCAAGGGAAGGTAGACTTAGTGCAAGGGTAGGTAGACTTAGGGCTAGTGTAGGTAAATCAGGGCAAGGGTAGGTAGAGTCAGGGCAAGGGAAGGTAGACTTAGTGCAAGGGTAGGTAGACTTAGGGCTAGTGTAGGTAAATCAGGGCAAGGGTAGGTAGAGTCAGGGCAAGGGAAGGTAGACTTTGTGCAAGGGTAGGTAGAGTTGGGTTTGTGTAGGTACATCAGGGCAAGGGAAGGTAGAGTCATGGCATGTGTAGGTAGAATCAGGGGAAGGAAGGGAAGGTAGAGTCAGGGCCAGGGAGGGGAGAGTCAGGGCAAGGGCGGGTAGAATTAGGGGAAGGCAAGAGCAGGTTGAGTCAGGGGAAGGGCAGGTAGAGACAGTGCAAGGGAGGGGTAGGTATCTGGTAAGGCCTATCAGTGGGATTCCCACAGTGTTTATGACAATTGCATGTTGGAATATATATTTACTTTATCACCCACTCTTCTGAATTTCAGGAGGAAGCAAGGAGAGCCCCTTGGTGGCCAGACTGCGACAGACTCCAAAGAGAGATGGAGGTGAGATTTCAGATGTACTTATCATCAAGTAACATAAACATCCAGTCAGTTTCCAGCCAACTTGTAACAGAGTATGTACAATGACATAGATGATGTCTCTTTCCCTTCAGATCCCTCCTCAAATGGTCCGTCCCCAGTGACATCGCCAACATCCCCTTCCAAGGAATTTGCAGTAGTCACAAAGAAAATCTCACTGCCCAAGGAAATCATTTCAGGTGAGAGAGATCCAGGTGGATTGTTGTTGGTGATATTGTTAAGTTCACTGTTATCCTTTACTGGAGTATTGATCTGAGTATTCAGAATGTGGCAATATGCAGACCAATATTATATTAAAATAAGAATTTACTTCAATATTTTTTACGTTTATAGAGTTTTAAATGAAGAAACCAGTTTGCCTAATTACACGTTAGGCAAAGTGTGCACACTGCTTATTTAATCATTAACTCAGAAAAAAACCCAGTATTAACTTGGTGATACCATTTAGCTCCATTCTGCTACACAAGATTATCATAAGAGGGGACTAACGGGATCGGCTGGTCGGGCTCACTGACTTGGTTGATGCATATAATCGTATCCCAATTGCGTGGATCGATGCTCATGATGTCAGTCACTGGGTTTTCTGGTCCAGACTTGATTATTTACAGAGTGCCATCATATAGGTGGAATATTGCTGGGTGCGGCGTTAAACAACAAACAAGCCTTGCCCAATGAATTATCATCTAATCAGGAAACAGTAGTCCGTTAGTGGAGGTGGTTTATTCTTCTTCTTTTTAAACATAAACGCAAATAAAATTGCTAGGTTAGCCAATCAAATGAGACAGAATAATATGCTATTTATTGTGCCATAAATTATACTGATTTGTATGATATTTGCCAACACAATTAGTATGTATCATTCCTATAATGAATAATTCCTGCATATGTTGTTATTGTTATGTTGGTTCCTTCATCAATAATAATGTTATGTTACCACTCAGAAGATAGATTTTTTCATGTCTAAGTATTCATAGATCCCAACTGATTGATGATTGTCTAATTGTAAGGTTTGTGTTGGCAGGTCCTGCCCCGGTGAAGACTGAGCGTGAGAAGCACGTGGAGGAGGAGGAGAAAAAGGAGCCTGTGAGAGTGGCTGTGCCACAGATGGACACAGAAGCCATCGACTCCTTCTTCCAGACCAGGGACATTTCACAGATCAAAGATAAAGTGGATGTTGACATTGACGACTTTAATGAGATATTCATGAAGGCAAATGAAATGTGAGTTTCCAGGAACAGGAACATTTTGGGGATGGTAGATATATAACAAAGATCTATATTTTGAAGAAGCCGAAAAAATCTTAAGAGGAAATTCTTAGTACCACAATGTTTGCACTAATCAAAACTGTTTTCTACCTGATTTGATGGTTGCAAGTCCTGAGTGATCAGTTGGGTTTGTTCAAACTCAATCAATCCTTATTCCAGGCTTCCTGCTGTAAAGAAAGCTCGTCCAGCCCGCAGTAAGTCTACCCGCAGTCGGAACCACCTGAAAACAAGGTCACTACACTTGGAGCTGAAGGATGAGTACCTCGAGATCAGCCATGGGGTTGCAGAGAAGGAGTTCAAGAGGATGAAGAAGGAAACAAGTAAGGATGACAGACCTTAATTGTTTTTATGAATGAACAAGACATAAAACATGTTCATATTAATTCTGTGAAAGGTACTTGCCTCTAGAAGCTATGATTATTTGACTTTGTACTTGCTTGTTGCAGTCTCAAAGGAGGCAGGGTTTGCTCAGGAGGCCTTGGCTGGCCTGGCCAGCAAGGAGAACTTCTCCAAGGTGGCACTGAGGAAGGCTGAGTCCTCCACGCCAGGAGGCACAGGGTCCTTCCAGCCCTACAAACCCCTCATGCTTCTTCATGTCAAAGGTGGGTTCACTTCTTAGACCGCAACACTTACATACACAAAGCTGCATAGAACAGCAACTCATTGGTTAACTTAATGCCTTGTATATTGGTGCACACATGGTAGCAGGTGGCAGGAGTATGTCCTCATTATATGAAATGATTAACTGTACCTTTATCACTACTGATGATTCATTAACACAATATTTCCAACAGGGCGATACAAGATCCAGACTCGCCTGGTTGAGCCATCAGCAGCATCCATTAACAGCGGGGATTGCTACCTCCTGGTGACTCGTGACAAGATCATAAACTGGATCGGGGAGTACTGCAATGTCATCGAGAAAGCTCGGGTAAGAGTAGTGGCATTGAACATGGTCCAGGGGAGATAACTCATAGGCCATGTTCTTCCGTACATGAATTTGATGTTTCATTTCTACTCTTATGGTGGTTGTAAGAGACGAGTTAATGGATCAGGTAGTCAGACTGGGGGATTTTGGTGACCATTGGTGTGGGACATTGCTTGAAATATCAATCATGGATATGTCTGGTCCAGATTTAATGGCAACTGTAAATAGCTGAAATATTGCTGCTATGTGTGGCATTAAACAACAAACATCATGGTTCTAAGGGATGCAGCTTGCGCAGAGATGAGTGCAGAATTGTATGGTTTCAAAGGTGTAACTGTATATTTATTATGGTTTTTGAAAGGATTGATGAATATATGTTCGAAATTGGATGCTTCTTTATTTGTGTCATTTCCACTTTAATGTTCTCTATATTCTCTGATACTTGTGATAGCAGTGTGTATGTTGCAGTCTGCAGATATTGCTGGCTTCATCCAGCAGAAGAAGGACCTTGGTTGCAAGGCAGCAGCTCTGGTCATCTTGGAGGAACACAAGGGCCACCTTGGTGCTGGCAGACACTTCTGGAACGCCATTAATGGATACAAGGAGTACCAAGGTACGAGCAGCCCGACAGGATGCCATTTGGAGGCCTTGTAGGCTGGGAATGTTAAAATGCTGATAATATGTGTTTGATGCTTAACAATGAAATGTCCTAAAAGTTTTCTATTTAAACTTTTTGCCACTGCATGTTTAATGTGGATGAGTAGGAGAGTAGGGACACCATTACATCCAGGAGGTTAGTTGTGTGCTTTTTTCCCTACAGACTGTGGCCCCGAGGATGAAGATGAGCTGTACGAGAGCCACATCATCAAGACCACCATGGTGTACCAGGTCGTTGACAACTCACTCATGCCTTACGAGGAGTACTGGGGCATGCAGCCCAAATATGAGATGCTCAAGAAAGATGAGGTACTGACAACACTTTCTACATGCTACCCATGAAGATCCGGTTAGAATTGGTCTTCGGCAACCCTTGTCGTAAGAGTCAAATAACGGGATCAGTGACTCGGTTGGTTAGGCTCGCTGATGTAGTTGTCATTGAATCCCAACTGCATAGATCAATGCTCTTGATGTCAACATGATTGTCTGATCCAGACTCGATTATTTACAAACCCCTGTCATCTAGCTGAGTACGGCTTTTAACAAGAAACAAACAAACCTTAACTGATAAAGACTTTTTTGCTGAACATCATACTATTTGTGTAGGATTATCCACTAGCAATGTGACAGACAAGTTGGTAATGGTTGCTGCTTATGTCTGGTATGACGTCATGCGTTGATGGGAAACAAGGTTATCCTTGTGTGTTCCTAACCGTCAACACATGACTCACTACAGTAACAGATTTGTAGCCATCATATTTTTATTTGTAAATGGTAGGATTCAGAGAATGAGATGGAACATTTGCTGTGCTGCCTGCTAGACTATAAGATGGTGTGTTGTGTGTGCAGGTGCTGGTGTTTGACTTCGGCACTGAGATGTATGTGTGGCAGGGGAAGACAGTGACCATGGAGAAACGCAAGCAGGGCATTAAGCTGGCACAGAAGCTGTGGGAGAAGGGCTACGACTACGAGGAGTGTGCCATCAACCCACTCTGTCCTCTACACGGTAATACAAGGGAAGCTTGGACACACTTCCCACCTTATGACTTGTCTATGTCCAGGAGACTGTTCAGAGAAAACGGGTTGACGTAGTCAACGTAGTGTCTGATTCTTTATCAGAAGAGATATATTTTATCTTATCCTGACTCATACTTATTGCTTATCTCTCTCTCTTCCGATTAGGTAGTGGAAACGTCCTGTGCTGTTCCCAAAGAACAGAGAAAACAGCTCACCCAAAGGCACCCTCACTCTGCGCATGCGCACCGGAACCATGTGACCAAGCCCATTAACTCATCACTCTCTCTTTTTTGCGCCATCTTGGCAGCTGGGAATTTTTTTCTGTGCATCATAATCCAAGCTTTCCATAAAAACTCACCCTTTTTAACAAAATCTTTTGCTTGGATTATCTTCTGTGATATTCTATACATCATATCTAACGATTATTTTATATATTTGGCATTAGAATTTTTCGTAATTTGGACTCAAATGCAGCCCCTATCGGAGATCATGAAAACATGTAACCGATGTAAATTACGTTTTTCATATTCGGACCCTCATCCAACCTGTACCAGCTGCACAGTACAGAACTGCACTGCAGAGAATAGATGCAAATTCTGTGCCCCTTTGGGGAAGGAAGAATTTAGTAATTATCTTTTTTGCAGTGCTGAGGAAAAAGATGGATCGGAAACGACGTGAGTCATCACGCTCGTTATCATCCACGGAGACGGCTAAAAGTAAGAAGAGGCGAGAATACGCCCTGCCCTTCGTCAGAGGAATTCGATATGATATTATTCAAATTATCCCGCTGAATATGATGCAGTCACCCCCCCATCTTAATTCCTCGTCTACCAGTAAGAAGTCTAGAGGGTCTAAGAATAAACCTACTGAACGCTTCAGTAAGGCTATCAATCTACAACAACTAGCTAAGAAAAAGAGTGCTGCATCATCTACTTTGAAGCCGTCTTCCCCTAGGGGAGAGCATGTTTTTGCAGAGGTTATTACCTCTACAAAACCACAGACTTCATCCGCAGTCATGAAGGGGGTTTCTAGAAAATCAGCTGTTTCTTCTAGCCAGAAGAAAGACTGCGCGCATACAATTACGTCCACACAACCCCAGAGGTTCGCGCAGCCCAAAGTGTCATCCAATTCGGCTACAAATACAACCGATATATACCTCAATCAGCCTCAGACCTTCGCGCAGAAACCGGCCTTCGCGCAGCCCAACACAACAATTATGCAATCCTCTACCTTCGCGCAGGCATCAACCTGCGTGCAGGCTATTAATCAACAAGAGTATACACAGACTCCAGCGTTCACTCAGGCTCCCGCCTTCGTGCAGCCTTCACGCAGGTTCCCGCCTTCGTGCAGCCTCAACGTTTACACTGCCAACTACCTTCACGCAGCCTACCTTTTTCCACAAGGTACTTTGCTAACGCCTGCTATTAATACAGATGTGATAGCAAATATCACACAAGTCGTAATGGCTATGCAACAACAAATGTGTAAACAACCTGGCACGCAGTCGACTACCTCTTCACACAATAGCTCGCAGATGTCGCAGCCTTCATTTACGGCTCCAAAATCCTAACGCCTCCTATCTTCTGCGAGAGGAGGATATGTTCGAGCCCCCTCAAAATAAGGACACATCGGGGAAAAATTACCCCTCAATTTATGAGGATCATGAATTAATGGTGTGGATTACAGATAGACTGCCGATATCATCACCGTCAAGAAATTCTTCTCCCACTGATACATACTGTATCAAAGGGGACGATATAGACACACTAACCATCCCACCGATAAAACCAATCTCCAACATTGCAGAGAATCTTAATGTTTCTTTTGCGAAAGCCACGAAATCACAAGGACTTCAAACACCGAGCTTTAATTCTAAGAAATTCCCCATGCACGCAATGTCGCAATTTCTTCGCTCACCGGAGATTGATGAAGATAACTCACTCATGTCAGACTCCAAAAGTAAAAATTCTTATCGCATTGAGGATAAGAAAATTGCACAACTTGATACGACTACAAGACATGCATTCTTTGGACAAGCGATATCCCGCGTTATGAACGAAGCTATGTTCTATGAATTAAAAGAGCCTCAGAACGACCGCGAAAGAATGCTACTTTCAGCTCCCGTCAATCAAAAGAAAAATCCCCAAACATTTTTAATGGTAACATACGCAAAATCAACAAAGAAGTGCTTTAAGACTCCAAAGATCATATGCTGATCAAGTCAGTTCAGACTATGAATTCTATGTATCGTCAATCCATGCAGAAAACCCAATTCAAAAGCCGTATGACGGGCATTCAAAAAGCTAAAGAGAAACGCTCGTACAACTTCAGAGGCGGGAAATCATCTGCTTTTTGCAAGTCACATGACACGTCACGTGATGCCGGTCGCGACCGCAGCTGCGGCCGCAGATCAAGATGATCTGGCAATGTTACCCGTGAAGATGGGCTTTTGAACGACAGGGAACTCCCCCCACCAGCCGTTCATGTACAGCATTCCCCAGTAGGCGGAAGATTGGCAAGATATTGGATGAATTGGGACATTCTAGGAGACGAATTTGTTTCCAACTTTCTAAGAAAGGGCTACGCGCCGACTTTACTCAAGAAATCCCCGTTATCTCGTAAGCCACCGGAAATACCTTATCGGAAAGAATTGTTCGCCGAAGTTAACCGAAGCAAACGATTCACGTCTCAAAAAGGGCGCAGTCGAGATAATTCATCCAGAATTACTAACGCCGGGTTTCTATTCGCCGATCATTTTGGTTCTCAAAAAGAATTATAACGGAAAGTTTTGTTTGATTTACAACATGAGAAAATTCAACAAGAAATACCTCCCAAAACCGGAGGATTTCAGAATGATTCAACAAGTGATAAAACAAGCACGACTACCTCGGAAGCATCGATCTACAGGATGCTTACCTACACATTCCCATAAAACGGACTTTCAGGAAGTATTTACGTTTCCTCTTTGAAGGACAACATTACCAGTGGGCAGTCCTGCCCTTTGGAATTTCCACGGCCCCAAGCTAATTACACGAGTGACCAATCCAATTGTGACATTTTTTCACAACAAGGGAATTAGTTGTGCTTTTTACCTAGACGATGGGATATAAGCCCATCAATCAACAAAGCTACTCAGACTACAACTAAATTTCACCCTGAAATTATTAACACAACTGGTTTGGTTAATAAATTTACAGAAGTCTGATCTACAACCATCTCAGGACCTCAAATTTCTGGGAATCAGATTTCTAACCAATCAGAATCTGATAATGGTACCAGAAGATCGGTGGATAAAAATCAAGACTTATTTGCCAACAGCAATTTACAAGAAAATCTCAGTCAACGAATGGCAAGTGATACTAGGCTGACTCACGTCAGCCCAAGCGTGGACGGTCCGAGGCAGACTACACTTAAGCCCTATTCAGAGATTTCTAAATCCATACCTAGATTACCAGGATTTAAAACTGCAACTACCACAAACATTGAGGAAACACCTCTTATGGTGGACAGTGAAATCGAACGTTTGCGCAGGAACTTGTTTAAACGAGAGGGATTACAACAACCACCTATTCGTGGATGCCTCACTTCAAAGCTGGGGAGCTCACTTCAACAGAGAAGTAACAGCAGGCCTATGGTTAGAAGCAGAAAAGCTCTACCACATCAATTATCTGGAATGTGAGGCAGTAATCCGTGCAAAATTTCACTGGGCCCCACAGTTAAGAAACCAATGTCTGATGATCAGAACAGACAATTCAACTGTGGCATACAATATAAACCTTGAGCCTCCTGAAGTTGACATTTCAACTTTACGAGCTAGTAGAGAATCTGAACTTAACAATAAAGACAAGACATATACCAGCAGTGGCAAATGTCTTAGCAGACGCCTTCACCAGCCCAGCCAAACCATCACCGACAGAATGGAAGCTACACCCAGAAGCATTCCAACTGGCTGTAAAAGAAAAAGGTTGCCCACTGATAGACCTATTCGCAACCAGATTCAACAATCAGATAACAACATTTGTATCACCAGTGCCAGACCCACTAGCTTGGTCAGTCGATGCTCTGTCAATATCATGGGAGGGACTAAACGCGTATGCGTTTCCTCCACCAGCCGTGATACCACAGATATTACAAAAGATCCTACACACAAGCAGCCTACAACTGCTTTTGGTAGCGCCTTACTGGCCGGCGAGAACGTGGTTTCCAGATCTCGTCGAACTAGCAGGAAATCCAATATTAAAACTTCTAAACTGGCCAAATCTACTGCTACATCCTCACTCCAATCAGGTCCATCCAAGACCAGATCTGTACGAACTTCACGTATGGAGCATATCAAGAGCAGTCTCGTTAAAAGAGGATATTCCATGAGAGCAGCTAAGGCAGTTTCCTTAGCACTTCGTAGATCAATGAGGAATCTCTATGACGATAAATGGAAAAGTTTTGACCAGATGCAACATCCAAGGGTTTTTCTGCAGCCAAAGCTACTATACCACAAGTAGCAGATTACCTATGTCACTTACGAAGTACAAGGAATCTTAAAGGTTCGACACTGGGCACTTATTTGGCCGCTATCAGTTCTGTACTGACAATGGCTAACGGGATAAAACTTACTAAAGTTCCCGAGCTGATAGCCCTACTCAGATCCTTCCGACTTGAGGACGAACAGAAAAGATTTAGAGCCCCAGCATGCGACCTAAATATAGTGCTACAACACCTAACCAGTGATGCATACGAACCGCTCCAACGGGCCGACTTTGAACACCTGACACAGAAAACCCTATTTATTCTGGCATTAGCTACGGCAGCCAGAATGTCTGAAATCCACGCGATAGACTTCAATCGCATCACATTTGACAGTGGTAACAACTCATCAGCGCACCTTGGCTTAAGATGGGACTTTATTGCAAAGAACCAGTTACAAGGCCAACCAGACAGACAATTCCATGTTCCGGCTCCTTCCTCCGTCCTTGGTGCAGAGGATACAGAGGATTTATCACTATGCCCATTCAGAGCCTTAAGATTATACCTACAAAAGTCTAAACCTAGAAGACAAGGTTTTAAGAGACTATTTATTCCTTTATTAAGAAATACTCACACAGAGGTATCCAGAACAACTATCTCATTTTAGATGAGAGCTGTTATTCTCAGAGCATACAGAGCAGTGGGATTGGACCCCCCTTCAGCCTCCAACCCTCACAAAGTAAGAGCCTTAGTCTCAACTTTGGCACTTCACGGCAACTGCTCCATAACAACTATTATGGAATGCTGTTTCTGGAAATCAGATACAGTTTTCGCCAATCACTACCTCAGAGACCTTGCTACAGAAGACTTAGCTGGTATTCACCAATTCGGACCATTAGTTGTGGTACAACTACTCACGAATCCTACCAGAAGACATTAGAAGATCACACTCACCCAATATCACGTAGACTTGTTGACGTCAGGTTACTGTTCCATAACCAACGACTGAGAGTCCATGCCCCCTGTTTTACCATGTAATTCAGCACATGAGTGAGAAATGATTGTGTTAAGATTATTGCTCTTCTCTTAACACTTTAATCATTTAAGGTGAACAAGATTTTAATCCTAGAAACCTTATAAATCCACAAATCTATATGATTTACTTCCATTTTGCTGCTCACAAAAAAGGAAGGTGGTCCCCAAATAAAGAATTTACACAGAAGATTAACAACGTTCCTATGGGCTTTATAGAACAGATCGACGTTAATCACACATACAGGTGGAACCCACCACCTACTGTGAGATTCAAGCAATAAGTAGGAGTCAGGATAAGATAAAATATGTATTTTTTTAGAGTAAAAATATCATTTATACTTATCCTGACTCATACAAATGAGTACCCTCCCGGCCTTCCCCTCTTTCCACTGATGTGTTCCGACCATTAAGTAGGAAATAAGAGAGAGTGATGAGTTAATGGGCTTGGTCACATGGTTCCGGTGCGCATGCGCAGAGTGAGGGTGCGTTTGGGTGAGCTGTTTTCTCTGTTCTTTGGGAACAGCACAGGACGTTTCCACTACCTATTCGGAAGAGAGAGAGATAAGCAATAAGTATGAGTCAGGATAAGTATAAATGATGGCATCAAACATCACTGGCATAATTTATGTTGTGAAGGATTAGAGATAGAATTAACATTAATTGCAGTACAATACTTGTACAATATGTGTACAGTATGAAGGTTGTATCATCATTTGTAGTATGTGTGTGTTATTTCCCCACAGATGATGACTCGGCAGTACCTAAAAAGAGCAGTGAACGACCTTCATGGGCTTTGTTTGGAAAGGTCAACCAGAATATGGAGACCATCTTGTTTCGTGAAAAGTTTGCCGATTGGCCAGACTCATCTAGACTGATAAAGGTCAAGGATACACAACCCTCAAAACAGAAGGTAAATCTCAAGGCTGGAGACAGTGAAATAAATTGATAAGATGATGTTGTCACGAAGGCAGCCAAATAATGGATACAAAAGTTCCTTAAATTCTTATGCTAATAGTTCAGTTTGTCAGAGTATTCCTTGCTACTGATTGGATTGAAGTCCATCTTCCCCAATTTGTATTTCAGGCGGATGTTGTGGAATTGCAGCCATACGATGCTAAGTTGATGCTGGCTGAGAAAAAGAATCCAGTCACACTACTGTTGGAGGGCTCTCATGTCGGCAGGGGAACAAAGTGGTGGGGGCACTACAGACATCTTGCTAAACAACAAATTCTCTTGTCTTACTTATAAAGTTACTATTAATTCAATTATCTAATTTTCTTTTTCCGTTAAAGTAGATTTGAGGAGCTTGTCAATATTTCTCATTTCATTTTGCTGAACCCCAGGGACTTTGATAATCCGTGCATTATGTTCTGAGATATGTCAGCATGCTATATCTGCTGCATGTTGCCAGGTATGAGGACATGGAAGGCTTCATCCGGGAGGTGGACATTCTGACTCTTGGCACCTCTGTGTGGCACGTGCTAGAGTATGACCACTACAAGATGCCAGAGACAAGCTATGGCCAGTTCCATGAAGGGGACACCTATGTGGTCCGGTGGCAGTACATGATTGCCAATGCTGGTGAGTTCTTTAGTGTTCTAGAGAGTCTGAAAGTCAGCCAGAGGCTGGTATAATACTGATAAGTGAGGCATGGAGGGAGGAGCTGGGTAGGCAGACAGATGTAGAGGACCTGGAGATGTAACATGGATTTGTATCATGAAATGGCTTGCCCAACCACATCATGTTAGCTCCTGCACTTCTCTGAATGTTTGATCAGGGTTCTGGTTGAGAATGTAGAAAATTGCAGTTACTAGTTCCTGGTTAGGAGACAGAAAGCCTGCATGGTTTAGCAGACATAATGGGTAGTTGTGTTATAAACATACTGTAATGTTGTTGGGGAATCAAATTCACTGTTCCGTTGCCTATCAAGAGAAAGACATTTTGCATGATCACATATAATCATTGATCACCTGTTTGTGATGTCTGTGAACAGGGATGCGGACACTGAAGGGTCATGCTGCCAGACACTCACTGACTGGTCGGGAGAGGTGTGCCTACTTCTTCTGGCAGGGTAAGGGCTCAACAATCAACGAACAAGGGGCATCTGCTCTGATGACCGTGGAGCTGGACGAGGAGAGAGGGCCACAGGTAGGTTGGGTGAGATGGGGAGTGCGGAATAGGGGCATTGTGAGATAGGGGGAGTGTGGAATAGGTGCAGTTTGGGATAGGGGCAGTGTGACCAATATCCCCAATTCGGTTTAAACATATATTTAATCAGGATGAAAGACAAGATGTATAAATTGAATCATTTTGGTTTATTGTTGCAACATTTCAGTGTTTATGTGAACAAACTTGTCTAAGCACAAAACACTAAACAAGAGATTCACAAGTACAAATTCATTAATAAGCTTTACTATTGACTAACATTGATAAATATTTTGACTTGTTTGTATTTCAGATTCGTGTTGTACAAGGCAAGGAGTTGCCATGTTTCTTGAACCTGTTTGAGGGTCGGATGATGGTTCATGTAGGGAAGCGTGAGGATGCCAGCACGAACACGCAGGGGTCCTGGAGGTTCTTCTGTGTGCGGGGAGAGTACACCAATGAAATGTGTCTTGTTGAGATACCTTTGTGTACAGACAATCTCAGAAGCCGTTCATCTTTCATTTTACTCAGTGTGAAAACTGGCCTTGTGTACATATGGCATGGTGCTAAATCTCCGCAGCATACTAGGAAAATAGCAGTCAAAGCTGTCGACAATCTCAAGGAAAAGTGAGTTTGGGGGTTGAAAATCTAGTTTAATATTTACCATAGCAATATGCTGTGTTTCAAGTATTGACACAAATATAATAAATGAATTATGCTTCTTTTTTTTTTTTAAATTCTTCAGAGAGTGAAACATTAAGTAGATTTTTGTTATCTTCATGTCAGTTATCGTGGAGTACATTAAAAGTAAATTATTGGTAATGATTGATAAGGAAGTTATTTGTTATTTTCTACCATTATGAAGTAACTGTGTCTGGCAGTAATTTATAATGCACCTTGGAATTGCTATGTTTCAAGATGTTCCAGAGCAGTGCAAAGTGATACACGGTGACTCTTATTAACATAAGACACAGATTGGTAACAGTAACTGTCATTAATGAGTTAGGTCAAGTTTCCCTGTTAATGAGGAAGTGTTTGCAGATGTCCTCTGGAGGTGAACATGGACAGTCGGGCCAGCCTGCTGGTCACGGAGGTGGAGGAAGGGTCCGAGAAGTCGGACTTCTGGGGCCCACTCGGTGGTCGGCCCAAGGACAGCTACATCTCATTGATAAAGGGTAGGTGGTGTACACAGTATGTACAAATAGACATTAGGAGGTGTTACACAATAAGCCCAGCTATCAAGTATACATGCATACATAATCACACAACACCATATTCTTGGAAATGTCATTTTGGTACACTAGATTATCAAGTTGTGTTGTACATGATATAGGTCAATTTCTACTTTGTTGTGGCACTAACGTCACTTTGTGTTCAGCCTGTTTGCATGTCCATGAACATCACCTTATAACTGTCGATTGCCTCCCAGATCCGCAGGTGTACCAGCACACAGTGCGCCTGTTCTACATGTGCAGTGTGTCTGGGGTCTTCAAGGTGTCGGAGGTCCTCTATGAAGCGCGCTCCAATGATCTCGTTTCGCCATTCCCATTTCTACAGGCTGATCTCTACAACGAGTCTGTCTCCCAACCAGGTAGGAACAATATCACTGCATAGAAAGTGTCTCTACATTACATGCTTGGAAATATGTTAGACACCATCTTATTGGTACTGAAGTTTTCTGTTTGTCTTACATTTAGCCATTTGATGAGAGTAACAGTAATTAAATCACATTTTCCCTTCTAGATCAGTGATGTATTCTATAGATTCTGTGATAACTTAAACTGTCTTGTTTAAGCAGTTTATTGGTGTGTTGGTGTTTATTTGTGTTATACTGTAGCTGGTGGGTGTGTTTCAGCGTTGTTCTTGGTGGACAATGACCATGAGGTGTACCTGTGGCAGGGGTGGTGGCCGGTGGGGGATGAGGAGCAGGAGAATGTTGCCACTGGCTCGGCTCGGGCCCGCTTTGATACTGACCGCAGGTGTGCAATGCTCACCACTATCCAGTACTGTGAAGGTGAGGACATGGAACACGTGGCAATGTGAGGAAATCTTTTTTATATGGTGAAATTTATAACGGAGAGGGACATGTTTGACATGCACCTTTTTGTTTTGTTTTGAGAATATATTAGTGTGTTTACTGTTTTAAATCATGTCATTGTTGGGTGGAGTATTTTGCTGATTACTTTCTGAAGGATTTTATCCATGTGTGTGTTCTTCAAAACTACATTATGTTAACACAAAGTTCCTTTGCATGTTGCAGAGAAGAACAGTGCTAAACCCCCAACAGCATACCTGGTGTGTGCGGGTGTTGAACCCAAGTCTTTCACCAATCTCTTCCCCTACTGGGAGGTGGATGAGACAGTCAAAGAGGTTGCCAAAGATGTGAGTAGTATTCATTGTATTGACAGTATATTAAGATGAATTATTATGAAAAATTAATTATATTTAAACAATAGAACAAATCCTTGCCAATCAGAACATTTTTGTACATTTAAAAACTGTATGTTTTGATAAAGCTGTAATAATGAGCTGTGTCAATGATAACTTTATGTTTGACAACAAGTATAAAGATGTGGAGTAGACAGTTGTACCTCTCTGTGCAGGACGGCAAGGAGGACGACTACTGTGACTTGCTCAGCGACGTGCTGGCTCGGTTTTCCAAGACAGAGTACTCTTTGGAGGAGCTGTTAGACCGCCCCCTGCCGGAGGGAGTTGACCCGTCCAAGCTCGAGTGGTACTTGGAAGAGGACAAATTTCAGGTGAGCCCTGCCACCATATACTGCTGTAACAAATCCCCTTGTAGTTAAAGTTCCAAGTGAGATCAGCCCCCCATATACTGCTGTAACAGATCAGCCCCTATATACTGCTGTAACAGATCAGCCCCCAATATACTGCTGTAACAGATCAGCCCCCATATACTTCTGTAACAGATCGGCCCCCATATACTGCTGTAACAGATCAGCACCCATATACTGCTGTAACAAATCCGCCTTTAGGTAAAGCTCCAAGTGAGATCAGCCCCCCATATACTGCTGTGACAAATCAGCCACCATATACTGCTGTAACAGATCAGCCCCCATATACTGCTGTAACAGATCAGCCCCCATATACTGCTGCAACAAAGCCCCTAGTAGGTAAAATTCCAAGTGAGATCAGCCCCCATATACTGCTGTGACAGATCAGCCACCATATACTGCTGTAACAGATCAGACATGTAGATAAAGACTACATTTTGATACTGACTTTTGCATATTGCAGGAAATATTTGAAATGTCCAAGGAAGAGTTTTACAAACTTCCAAACTGGAAGCAGAGGCAAGTGAAACAGCCAACCGGCCTCTTCTAAGACGCTCATCAGGCAGATGTCCGCTCAAAACACTGTCATGGACATGTCCAGCATCTCATGACTGCAGCATCTCATGGTGTCAACATAACAGAAATCTCATCATGAGACATCAAGAGCTTTTGTTTTATGATCTGTGTTTGTATTGACAGTGAAACTGGGATGTATATCCACCTTACTGACAGGGTGAATGTTGCGTGAAGATTATCTGCACGAGTACTTACAGACATCTGTCAATATGATCACTGGTGTCAGTTTCTCTGCTGCCAAACAATCAGCTGTCACTCAGGTGTGAACATTGTCATCAATTTCATTGTCATGACCAGGAATGACGATACATCGTGCCTGCAGAGTCAGGAGGATGTACTAAGTGAAATATCAGTTTCATATCCCATGTCACCATCACCTGTCTATCATCTCATATCATCTGAAACAGGTGCTTGTAAAATGAACACATGACATGGATCTGATATACGGGGTAATAGAGAACAAAGCCTTTCAATAATCTGTGATCTGCAATGATAGAGTATGCTCTAAGTTGCGTTACAATTTGGGACAGGTGCTTTAAGAGTGTCATTAGTGGAATATAGTGTCTTGCAACAGCCAAAAACATGCTGTGCAACAATTCACAACAGTGATTGGCAGAAATGAGCTCCATATTGCCTGGGAAGTGTAGATATGGATGACATACCTCTGGACATTGTCATGCGCACCAAAGCATGATTGACAAACCACAGAGCACCACCACATCAGACCACAGGGTGCTATTACCAGACTTGTGCAACTTGCTACTGATAACCACACGTTTCAACAGGGATCTCATTAGTGCTGCCTTAAGACAACTGCTGTGTGTATGTCATTGTGTTGTGTTTCTTCTCTGTCATTGACCAGTGTAAAACCTCAATGCAAGATGAACTTGATCCACATGTTACACCCAATCCAAGATGGACTTGCTTGACCCACAAGAAGTACAAAATGGACTTGCTTGACCACTGTAAAACCACTATACAAGATGGACTTGCTTAATCTCTGTAAAATCTCAATACAAGATGGACATGCTTGACCCCTAACAAGTACAAGATGGACATGCTTGACCCCTAACAAGTACAAGATGGACATGCTTAACCACTGTTAAATCAATACAAAATGGACTTGTCCTAGACATACCAATATACCTGAAGGTCAACAACTACTGATCAAGTGTACTACATCAGATTCAAGGTCATAATCAACATTCTCAGTGTTTTGACTGAGTAAATCTAGAGTGCTTTCAGGCTAGTAGTTGGAATGTGCAACAAAGTAGCATATTTTACTGAGTTAGCGATGTTGTCCTTCAGTGACAAATATTCCCATTATTGATTACAGTTGGTAACTATTTTGTGACAGATATTTTTTGACAATAGTTTTGAGAACATGATTCTACTTGCTCTTCCAACTTACTGATTGCAGGTAAAGATTTAGTGCTAACTTGATCTGTGCTCAGTCATATTGCAGTTTGTTTTTACCAAGGTGTAACAATTTTACTTAAGCTTATAGTTATAAGTTATAAGAAATGAAAACAAATTAGTTTTATTAAAACACATTTTATCTTTTCAACTTATAATACACCACCCCCACCCCACCCCATCCCACCCACACCCTACACACACCCTACACACACCCTACAATAAAAAGTGAATCAAACATAATGTAATGTATACATGTTATTGTGTAGGAGGTACTGATTTGAACAAGTTGGATTGAATAACTATAGTGCATAATGTTGGTATTTGCAGTTTGTATATATGAGAGAAAAGTGAGGCGTGTACTGTACAATGAGTGTGTACAACCGTGTGTGTCACACACCCTTCCTCTACAGCCAGGGTGTCTCACGACCACCTTCCTTTAGACCCACTGTATTTATGAGTTGGTTTACAAAACTTACAGACAAATTAACATTCTTTGGACAAAGATAATTAGGCCCGATTGTGTATGACAGTTAGGTGTTGTCCCAGGGATGTGTGAACAATACAGGGAACCACTGACTTTGTTTTTTCACAGTGTATTTCTCAACTATTTTTTAGACTCCAATCAAGATCCTTTGTCCTGCAAATCTGCTAAACCTAATGTCAAACCATTGCAAGAACTTAGAGACGTCCCAAGTTAACTTGTTTCTTTCTCATTCATTATGGGTAAATCAATTTGGCAGTTGCATTTTTAAAAAATAATAAAACAATTTCCCCTACCACTTACTTGAATTTGGGACCCAAAAGTTTGTAAACCAACTTTCAATAAAAAATGGGTCTGGCAACCGTGGGGGACCACTACTGAGATGGTTGGCAGTGGATGTCCCAAGTCTGGCAGCATCCTTGATGTAACCATGTTTCCTGTATCAGTGTTTACGTTGTGTACTCGACCACTGTGATGTCAACATATACATTACACTTTTCCATATCATAATCACTCTCCATGTATATATATGTTTTGTATTCTGCTACAACCCTTTCAATTGTACATAGATTAGTGTACATATACCATCAACACAGAAGAAATTAAATTCAACTTATACATCAAACCTAGCCGTGTTGTTTTATTGTCTTGTTTTCAGCATTGATGGAATTGGAATGTATGCAGTGCATGAAATTTGATAAAGTACTGCTTTCAAATGTGATAGCAAATTGTCTTCCTCTTTCACAATTGATGAATCTGCTATGTGATGCAGGAAGAAAAGAATGTAATGTGTGATTTGAGGTTAAAACAATACCATCATATTTGGGGGCCCTGTCATCTGAGTTACTGCACTTTGCCTTAGGTGAGCCAGAAACCTATGATCATAGGTTCAAATCCCATATTATCATTGATTTTGTTTCCCGATTTATCAGCACCATTCCTGTGCGCATGTGTTTCATGAAAGTGGTAACCTGCATGTGTTTGGGCTCTCACACATAAAAGTGGCATTATATCAAACTCTCATAAAATTTATTTTTCTTAATGTTCAAAATAAACACATTTTCACCTCACAATTTAAGTAATGTGGTCAAAATAAATGATGCAGTTGAGGAATCCGATAAAACACTCCTCCAGGAGTGAGAAATGTCTTCCATGGAGGTACTCTAGTTCAGATCGAAAGGTTTGATGTAGAACGAGTCATCTTGATCATGAAGCTGCATACAACAGAAGCCACAAGTATTGTTAAATGTTTTACTTCACAGCCACAGCTTGATATACACAAAACATGGACGGATGATAAACATGTTTGAAGAACTAGGTACATCACAATATCTTACAGCATCTTCAATAATAATAATAAGTAAATGAGTTTCTTGTGAGGCTTCCTTTCTTCACAAGGATCCCGATATCAAAGCAGTATTCTTTATCCAGTTTATAACAATTCAACAATGTGTATTTTAATGGGGTATCTCTAAAGTCTAAAATATCAGATAAGGCCACAAGATAATTTTCCACAGGATATATAAACACAACAATGCACAAACTACATGGTTATTTTCAATTGTTTTATCTCCACTGATGTAATAAAGGACTCAAACCTTAAGACAATAACATATCATTAATAAGATAAAGTTTGTTTTTTTGACCAGATATTGTTCAGCTTAATGAAAATGAAAACAAATTAATTCTACAAATAGCGGGTAGTATTATAAAATCAGAAGGTTATAGAAACATGAGCAATTAGGTTTTCAGGCTATTACTTTGGAAATTAGGTGGGAGGCCACTCTAATTGGTTGTCGAAATTTGTCCATTTGACATAATCAAGCTTTAATTTGTACTTTATTTTCACAAATACTAACCAATACAAATCCAATCAACACTGCTGCAATGACTGCAACAAGTCATGTATATCAGATATGACCTCCGTGGAAGCAATCAGAACTGGTTGAACTTGCTGTTGGTCATACTGGCTGTATGACTATCCCCACTTACATCAGTAGATCAATGAGCACCACAGGAGAGGATTATCATCAACATGTAACTATGTACATAGCTAGCAAATGCCTTCACTCCATATCACAGTCTGTCTTGTCAATCTCGGCTTTACACATGCTATGTAGAATAGCACCTGGGGGTCAGAGTTTGAGGTCATTCAGGTTGTACGAGAACCGTGCTGGTTGACTGCCTTTACTCACTTTCATATTCTGGAGGCTTTCTGAAAGTGTAGATGAGTACAGCATATATACTGACTTCCACAATATGTCTGGGGGACATATAGCAGTTATTCCGATACCGCTGACTGCCACTGTGTCTAGGTCATATACACCAGTTATTCCACTGACTCACACCATTTCTGGGCGATAAGCACCAGTTATAAGCTGACTGCCATAGTGTTTAGGTCATAGACAGATGTTATTCTGCTGACTCACATTGTGTCTAGGTCATAGACAGCAGCTATTCTGCTGACTCACATTGTGTCTAGGGCATATACAGCAGCTATTCTGCTGACTCACATTGTGTCTAGAGCATATACAGCAGTTATTCTGCTGACTCACATTGTGTCTAGGTCATATACAGCAGTTATTCTGCTGACTTACATTGTGTCTAGGGCATATACGGCAGGTATTCTGCTGACTCACATTGTGTCTAGGGCATATACAGCAGTTATTCTGCTGACTTACATTGTGTCGAGGGCATATACAGCAGCTATGCTGCTGACTCACATTGTGTCTAGGGCATAAACAGCAGCTATTCTGCTGACTAGCTGCCACTGTGTCCAGGTCATATACAACAACAGATATAAACATAAATGTTACAGGTGGTGAGTCTGACCTGAGAGTTCTGCCTCCTCTAGGGTGCTCTTGGAGATGAGGCGGGAGTGGGTGTGGTCATCGGGGGGCACCTGGGGTGTAGCACCCCTCATAGCAGTGTCAGGGTGGTACTGGTCCACAGCAAAGTTAAAGGATAAAGCTAGAACAAAGCAGAAACAAGCCATATGCAGCTGTACTTGTACAATAAGATGGGCAGAGTTTTGTTTGGTTCACTTAAATGAGGAAATAAGAATATTTTGTCTTTCTTTATTCAAGATGCCTTCCTTGTAAAATGATACCTATGTATAAGAGAGCAATTCCTGCTGTCATAGTTTCATCTCCTATCTTCCTTTGATGCAGTTGGCAACACTTACCAGCAGGCGAGGGAATCAGCCGGTGCCAGAAGGGGCGCACTTGTCGCTTCAGAGTCGGGTGCCAGAAAGGGGCTTGGATTGCTTCAGCTGAAAGGCAGTGGGCTGTTATACATGTGTTATACATGTGTTATACATGTTTCACTGGCACTGTCTACATGGAGCAACATCTCTCGCTGTCTCTGGTGTACAGAGGATTGGTCTGCCTTGGAATCTGATGTTATGGTTGTAGATTGTTATGTAGTATATAGTGTATACTGGCGTGTAAAAGTTGTTATTTTACACTGCCTTGAATATCATTTCAGATATATAATGACATGAGAGTTTAATGTGGGGGCAAGTCATAAACTTAGATGATTACCACATAAAGGAAATCCTTTTATTTGTTTTATGTCATAGTCAGCAATATTCCAACGACATCACAGCACCCTGTGTAAATAATCAAGTCAGGGCCAAACAAACAAGGCTTGATGCTATGATCAGGTCAGTTGGCAATGATCAACCCAGTTCAACTTGACCTTCATGTCCATTTTAGTGGAATCTTATGCCAAGCATATTTCATTCCAGACAAATTCCAGGAATACCCACAGTGTGAAATTCATTATCATGAGTGTGGGACTGACCCTAAATCAGTCAATTCTGGGATTCAAACCATCATTAGTCGGCATTCTTGCGGCTAAGAAACATAACATTCCACTGGGCCATGCGGGCACACCTCCAGCTATGCAAGAAACTGCTAGATTTGAGTCACTGCATTTTTTGGTGGTGACAAACCAACAATCATATCAGGAGAAATCTTGGATTAAAAGTAAAGATCATAGGATTCTGGCCTTCCTAATGGATGTAACTGTGCACTGCAAACTTCACTGAGACAAATTGGCCTGCCTTGCGCCCTACTGCTTGAGGAGACTGCAGTGAACAATGTTATACACTTACTATATATCTGGTTGACCAGAGCCCTCTGTTTTGCAGCAATAACGTCAGGGTCCCACATCTGCAGCTGTCGTTTATTGGGATGTATCTGGCGTAACAACTTCTTCCTGAGTACACAATATACACTCAATGAATTTATACACAAATCTTGGTGTGCAGTCTGAGACGAAATACTATACCAAGATTGTGATGATCTAATCATGTAACCAAAGTAGACATCGACAACCACATCAACAATACCAATTCCCACAACCGAAGCTGGCAACACTAACCAAACACACCCACCACTAACCACTACATCCATACCCCTCCCCATAACTACACCTAATACCACAATCCCGCCCATAACCCTTTCCAGCAACCACACTGAACTAGACACCCTACATCATGTACACAGATATTTGCCACGTTGGGCCAGTGGTCCCAGCTGCTCACCTGAAGAACTTCCTCCAGGCCAGCTGTATGGTGAGTGCAGCAATCTGTCTCTCCCACTCCTCCTCTGTTGTCCGCAGGCGGCGGCGCCGCACAGCACTGCGCGCAGTGGAAGCAAGCTGGTTGGTCAGCTGTGTGGATCTCTTTCTGTATCTGTCATGAGAGAGAAACAAACAAGTAACACCTGTACCTGCGAAGAAAAATTCAGGCAGAGACAATATTCTTTCTTTTACCAGTGGACATTTATAGCCTTGAAATATCACTTCTTTGAGCTAAAACTTAAAGTCTCTGTTACTAAGTGTCACTCACCTTCTCCATGCTGTCTGTATGGTAACAGCTGCTCGCTGCTTTCTGCGTATTGCCTTCTGTCGTTCTTGCTCAGCCTGTTTCTTACTCTGTGCTTCTTTCTTCTGTGACAGAATGATCTCCCGTTCTGTTGGCATGTACTCCTTCTTCCTGCAACAAGTGACACACAACTGATGCTGACATCTCATACAAACAGGTTCACTGACCTGAGCAGCTCTCTGCTCACTGCTCACCTACACCAGGACAAACCTCCAATAGCACGTGGACGTTCACAATACATGGTGCAGTAGTCTTGCAACCGGACATTCAAAAGTGATAAAACCCTTTTAGCTTTCAAAGAGATGCATGAACTCCTTTCTCGTGATCTGGTAACTATATTTTATGATTCTCATTAACTTCCCTAATCCTGCATAACAAGTTCTCAACCTTCTAACATAGCCATTTACAGATAGAATATTTCATATATACAGTGCAACCTCATTAACCCGATGCCCTCTTGAAACCTGGAAACAATCAAGATATCTTTCATTTGGGATAAGCAGATCATACCACTGCAGATTCTGCCAGGGATCCGTTCCACAAAGTGATCGTAGGTCGTAAGTCGTAGTCTATGCTAAAGAATGGAGTTACGATCGTCTGAGTGTTATGACTGTTGTATGTCTGTGTTAAAGAATGGGAGTTATGATCATCCTAGTGCTACGACTGTCGTAAGTCTATGTTAAACTATTGGAGTTACGATCGTCTTAGCGTTATGACTGTTGTATGTCTGTGTTAAAGAATGGGAGTTATGATCATCCTAGTGCTACGACTGTTGTATGTCTGTGTTAAACTATGGGAGTTACGATCATGTTAGCCCTACGACTGCCATAAGTCTATGTTAAAGTAAGAGAGTTACAATCATCTTTTCACTACGATCACAGATAACAGAACAGTAAACATGGTAAAAGTACATAATGTAAAATGACACATAAGGTTAACAGTGTTATACGTAGGTACAACTGACAGGCAAGGGAGGGAGAAACACACCACTGCACGCACTGTATGAACCCTGGTACTTACTGACCACCATCTTTCCTTGATACATGTCTCACGAGTGAGGAGGGGCTAACTTTCTGCTTAGTAGGCATTGCTCAAAGATTGTTTCACTAAAGTACCCACGTCACGTCACGTCACAAACTCAATATAAGTTCCTATTTTGTTTGACAAAATCAGCAAGGTTCATCCTGCCTCCCAGTTCAAGCCATCAGCACATGCTCACAGCACAGAAACACAGAGTCACATGAATAGTCAAACATTACAAAGACTTCCTGTTGCTAATATCCACCCCTGGCAGTTCAAATCACATTATACCCCAGACAAGTTTTTTTATCCTGGCATGTAATCTCTGCCCATGATCAGCACTACCAAGTGCCCAGTACCCAAAATCTTGCTCCAATTCAAATCCGGAAAACACTAGCAACCACTGCAGGAGGCATCTGGCCACCGCTAGCCCTGACAGTGTTTCCTCCAGACAAGGCTGTTGTTCTGTCTTAGTAACAGACTACAGCTCTGAGCAGGAGGCGTGACCAGACATGGGGGTAGAGATCAGGTGGCCTAGCGTATGCCGCGTCTCCTTGTCACACTGCATTGAATGCATTCAATCCTATATCATGTGTCGGCCTTATTGAGATTGTTGTATTAATGCATACCTATCAAGGGACATTGTTTGGCTATCTGTCATTGTGACGGGTGAAGCAAGTGGCTATGACAACAGATTCCTATCTCCCCATGCAGTGATCACAGTGTAGTAGTCACCGTAACAGATGCCCTTCCTTTACAGACAGCATACTGGATGGGTACCAGGACACCCTCAGGTCAACAACACATTCCTTAATGTTGCCTGCAACCACAACATAGTAATCCAAGTCCAAAACTTGTGTCCACAAACCCTTCAGTTTATCTATTGATTTCAAAAACCTGTACAGACTACATATAAATATCTCCCCTCCAAACCCACACAGAGACCACACATATAGCCTATCTCCCTCTCCACGGCTAGCTGCTTATCTGCTTCACAAATCAGGGATCTGATACGGAGTTGGTATTTTTTTAGGAATAATGTCTTCGCAATATTGGACTTACAAAGCAGCAAACATAATGTGATATTAATATGGTACAGACTAAACCATGCACACAAGGCTGTGTTACTTTATCAAAGGGAATTCACAAGGGAATCTTCAATGAAGTCATGAATAATGACAATTCTAATGGTGTCAAATCAAAATAAACACTTTTATCTGAAAATCTTCATCGTTAAGTCTTCATCACTGGTATTCCTCAACCCATTTTGATACTGACATATTTATCAATAGTAAGCTGATCTGGGATAACATCTGCTCTAGTTTCCTCAGTCGGGGCACCTTCCACACAGTTGTGTTGGTGTGTCATCTGCTGCTCCACACAGTTGTGTTGGTGTGTCATCTGCTGTTCCACACAGTTGTGTTATTATGTCATATGCTGTTCCACACAGTTGTGTTGGTGTGTCATCTGCTACTCCACACAGTTGTGTTGGTGTGTCATCTGCTGTTCCACACAGTTGTGTTGGTGTGTCATCTGCTGTTCCACACAGTTGTGTTGGTGTGTCATCTGCTGCTCCACACAGTTGTGTTGGTGTGTCATCTGCTGTTCCACACAGTTGTGTTGGTGTGTCATCTGCTACTCCACACAGTTGTGTTGGTGTGTCATCTGCTGTTCCACACAGTTGTGTTGGTGTGTCATCTGCTGTTCCACACAGTTGTGTTGATGTGTCATCTGCTGCTCCACACAGTTGTGTTGGTGTGTCATCTGCTGCTCCACACAGTTGTGTTGGTGTGTCATCTGCTGTTCCACACAGTTGTGTTGGTGTGTCATCTGCTGTTCCACACAGTTGTGTTGGTGTGTCATCTGCTGCTCCACACAGTTGTGTTGGTGTGTCATCTGCTGTTCCACACAGTTGTGTTGGTGTGTCATCTGCTGTTACACACAGTTGTGTTGGTGTGTCATCTGCACAAAACATCTTATGGTGACGTTTTTACCAAGTGTTCTTTATCATATAATGATAAGCTTGCATCCAAACTGCCGCCAAACACATCAGAATACAAAATATAGTATCCATCAATCAGATTCAGATACATTGTACCATAAAAATGAATTCAATGTTATCAATTATTGACTGATTACAGCTGAAACTGATGTGGGTGTATTCATGTTTCCCAGAAATCCAGCTACACGCCATCCTTTTTTAGCCAGTGTATTTGATAAATTCTCTGGACCAATTTGTAACCATAGCTTCGTTTGAGGCTGACTGGAATGGCACTACATTAAAAAAAGTATCTAATCATATTACTGGTGCAGAGCATTTATCCATAACAGAATGGAGATATGGAAGACAAATTCATTGAAAGGTGACCAATGTTCTAAACATTACTTGATGTAAGAATTTGTACATGCAAGAACTAGTAACAATTGACTTTGTTGAACATAAAAACAAATACATCAGACAAATTAGAAGAACTGGTTAGAGCAAACATCATGGTGCCTGTATATAATCAATTCCGAACCATGCAAACTAGTGACTGAAAGCATGGGCAACGATCCACAGCATCAAGGGACAATATGACATGCAAACCAGTGACTGAAAGCACAGCATCAAGGGACAATATGACATGCAAACCAGTGACTGAAAGCATGGGCAACGATCCACAGCATCAAGGGACAATATGACATGCAAACCAGTGACTGAAAGCATGGGCAACGATCCACAGCATCAAGGGACAATATGACATGCAAACCAGTGACTGAAAGCATGGGCAACGATCCACAGCATCAAGGGACAATATGACATGCAAACCAGTGACTGAAAGCACAGCATCAAGGGACAATATGACATGCAAACCAGTGACTGAAAGCACAGCATCAAGGGACAATATGACATGCAAACCAGTGACTGAAAGCATGGGCAACGATCCACAGCATCAAGGGACAATATGACATGCAAACCAGTGACTGAAAGCACAGCATCAAGGGACAATATGACATGCAAACCAGTGGCTGAAAGCATGGGCAACGATCCACAGCATCAAGGGACAATATGACATGCAAACCAGTGACTGAAAGCATGGGCAACGATCCACAGCATCAAGGGACAATATGACATGCAAACCAGTGACTGAAAGCATGGGCAACGATCCACAGCATCAAGGGACAATATGACATGCAAACCAGTGACTGAAAGCACAGCATCAAGGGACAATATGACATGCAAACCAGTGACTGAAAGCACAGCATCAAGGGACAATATGACATGCAAACCAGTGACTGAAAGCATGGGCAACGATCCATAGCATCAAGGGACAATATGACATGCAAACCAGTGACTGAAAGCATGGGCAACGATCCACAGCATCAAGGGACAATATGACATGCAAACCAGTGACTGAAATCATGGGCAACGATCCACAGCATCAAGGGACAATATGACATGCAAACCAGTGACTGAAAGCATGGGCAACGATCCATAGCATCAAGGGACAATATGACATGCAAACCAGTGACTGAAAGCATGGGCAACGATCCACAGCATCAAGGGACAATATGACATGCAAACCAGTGACTGAAATCATGGGCAACGATCCACAGCATCAAGGGACAAAATGACATGCAAACCAATGACTGAAAGCATGGGCAACGATCCACAGCATCAAGGGACAATATGACATGCAAACCAATGACTGAAAGCATGGGCAACAATCCACGGCATCAAGGGACAATATGACATGCAAACCAATGACTGAAAGCATGGGCAACAATCCACGGCATCTAGGGACAAAATGACATGCAAACAGCCAAGTCACAGAGCCTGACCACCTTGACTAACATTCAGTCCCAGAAATAGAGTTATCTAAATGTATATCCATAAATTATAAAGTAAAATCCAAACAGACCCAAGAACAATATTTAATTTCTCGACTTGACCTTTTTCACTGTATTCTCTAGGGTCTCAGAGACTGGCTAGACTATTTTAAGTGTTTCCCACTTGCGGCTGCTCAAGCATGATCAATGTCATGGGACCTATTCTGACCTGTTGTACAGGGAGTCTGTGTGTGAGATGTAATAAGAAATATGTGAAGATG